AGATGGTGATGCACCCCTCCCCCAGGTAGCTCCAGCCTGTCTCACGTATGCTGGACCTTATTGCCAGTGGCAGGCTAAAATACCTTGTGAGGTGCCATGGAAGTGGGTCCTGCAGACCCGTGTGGCTTGACTCCCTGAATTCAATCCCCTTCCTAGGGGCATGTATGGACCCCCTAATGATACAGGAGTTAAAAAGAAATTACTTAGGCAGATAGTGAGGGCACGAAAGTCCTCGGTAACATTTTCCATTAAATGAAAGGCAGCCCCAAATCATTTATCTTCTGAACAAAAAGCAGCCTCTAAAATCAAGCTGCAGACATAGATGCCGGCGGTGATTGTGCTAATCATGTTCAAAATGGTGGCTCCATCTTCCCTTCTCTTTGCCAATCACGTACACAGTAAGGAGCAGAAAAGATGGCGCTGGCCAAGGGGAAAGCCCATTTGCATAAGATTGGGGTGGAGTGGACAGTCTTCCCCATGCGCTATGGAAACATCACACCTGATCAAACCAATCCGTGGGCCCCACGTAAATCAGACACTGCCTCCTCAAGCCTGCTTATAAAATCCCGCACACTCCATCACCAACTTGTCTTTCCTTTTGGAAGCTCCTGTCTCTCACTCTCTCTAGAGAGACAGCTGTTCTCCTTTCTCTTTCTTTTGCCTATTAAACCTCTGCTCCTAAACTCCTTGTGTGTGTCCATGTCCTAAATTTTCTTGCCACAAGATGATGAACTCTGGGTTTTACCCCAGACGTTAAATCACTTCACTGCCTTGCCTGAATTGCAGATACCTTTGTTGGGGATCCGGGGGCTGGAGTACCTAAAATTCCTGGGTCTCTCTGTGTGCCTGAGCAGCTGCTCTGCCAAGACTACACAGGTCTGTGTGTTGGACCTCAGGCCCTGGTGGCGTGGACTCATGAGGGGAGAATCACGGTTTCTCAGGGTTGCACAGTCGCTCACCACTTCCCTTGGCTGGGGGCGGGGTCCCTTGGCTCCGCGTTGCTCTTGAGTGGGTCCTCGCCCCACCCTGCTTTTCTTCATTCTCTGCGGGTAGAATTGTTTCCCTGATCAGTTCCAATGTACGACCTGGATATTTCAGTTGAAGGTGCTATATTCACTTGCTCCTTTCGTTCCTCTCCCTGAGTGCCCCAGACGGCAACTGCTTCAAATCGGCCATCCTGGCGAAGGTTCCACATGAACTCAAATCGTCCACAAATCTCCATTTGCCACCACACAGGAGGCAAAATATTTTGGGGATTTTCTGAGGACTCTGTACTACTGGCATATGTGACTCCTGTGCGAGTATGTGAGGGGGATAATGTATCTGGATATGGAGGGACTGACTGGGGGATGGAGCAGATGGAGAGGGTGTAGATGAAGTAGGAATAGGCTGAGAAGAAAGTGACAGGCAAAAGGAAGGATCATCTAAGACATCAGAATTGGGGAGAGAGAAAGTTCCTTGGAAGCAAACGTGACAATTTTTAATGGAATTCTGGGTTTGGGAATAAAGCCAAAAAGACCTAAGGGACCTCTGAATCCTTTCCGGGGTTCTGGCAAAATGAGTCTAGTTGTAAAATAATATTCCAATCCAGGGTCCCATTAAGAGGACAATTTAAATTATTGGGGAGTTTATATTGAAACCTTACAAAAGAAAATCATATACTTCTTTTTGAGAGTTTGTGGGTCAAAAAGGTACCGCTTTTTAAGAATGCAAGCCAAGGGCGAATCAGATGCAATGGAAGAATGAATTGAATACATGTTGGGTTTTGATAAGCACTACAAGATCTCTGAGGCATCCCTGAGGGATTTGGACCTCCCTTTTCCCTTTGGCTCACTCTATTCGGGGGTGTCTTACCACAAATAGAGGGCCTGCCCTTGCCTGGATGACCAGTCCAGGCATGCCCTTGTTTGAGTCGTCAGCTTGAACCTAATGTGAAGCAGAACTCGCTCGTAACTTGGGATGTGGTGCCTGTGATGAAATTGAATCCAAAATGGGGTCCACAACCAGTAGACCGTGTCTGTGCAGAGTTGAGATTGCTGCTGCTTGTTTCAAGGCATGGTTTAGAATGCTAAAGTGAAAGTGGACTTGCCATCCTAGCAGGCAGTAGTGAATTCACTCTTTTGTCTTGGACTTCAGGTAACACCCAGGAGTGCCCTCAGCCAGAAACCCTCAGTTGCCAACGAGTACTCAAGCTGTTTCACTGGCAATCTGAAAATAGAAAAGAACCCTGGGCCAGGCGCGGTGGCTCATGCCTGGAATCCCAGCACTTTGGGAGGCCGAGGCAGGCAGATCACCTGAGGTCAGGAGTTTGAGACCAGTCTGGCTAACATGGCAAAATCCTGTCTCTACTAAAAATAAAAAAAATTAGCCGGGCATGGTGGTGTACACCTGTAATCCCAGCTACTGGGAAGGCCGAGGCAGGAGAATCACTTGAACCCAGGAGGCAGAGGCTGCAGTGAACTGAGATTGCACCATTGCACTCCAGCTTGGGCAACAAGAGTGAAATTCCCTCTCAAAGAAAAAAAAAGAAAAGAAAAGAAAAGAGGCCAGTTTTTTCTCCTAAGGGCAGCGACAGACAGATATCCCTTCTCTAGGGCTTCAGAATCCCACTGAAGAGTGACCTCAGCCAAGGACCTTCAGTTCCTAAGAGTAAAGAAGCAGACTATTAGGCCAGGTACAGTGGCTCATGCCCGTAATCCCAACACTTGGGAAGCCAAGGTGGATGGTTCACATGAGGCTAGGAGTTCGAGACCAGCCTGGTCAACATGGCAAAACCCTGTCGCCACAAAAAACAAGATAACAAAAATGAACCAGTCCATCGAGGGAAGAAGGGAGAAAAAAAGAAGGGAGAAATCCCAGTAAAGTCCCCAATGGGTCACCAAGATGCTGGGCGAGGTGTCAGAGCCCTGACATCAGAAAGTAATCAACTCATGGGTTGGTAAGAAGAATTTACTAACAACAGTATAGGTTTGAAAAGGAAATTTTTATTAGAAAGAATGCTGCAGAAGAGTGCAGCAGGGTGCCTCTGCCAGAGAAGACTGAGCACACCCCGGTGGATTTTCCTGAGGGGTATATATGGACCTTAAGACGGGAGCTCAAGGATAATTTGGGTCATATTAGCCATGTGGGTCATGGTAAATGATTACATTTGTCAACATTTTGGTGCCTTGATGTCATCAAGGGTTGCACAGTGAGTTTCGGCATGGCATTTGGCGATGTATAGAAATTCCAGTTACTTATGAGTTCTTTTTTTTTTTTTTGAAAGAGGCCTGAAAACAGAGGCCAACTTTAGATACTAGAGTAGTTTACTTCTAAATTCTCCAGAAAAGGAGTTTTGCCTACTGATGGCCTGTTTGATGCTCACCAGGTGATCTTTGATTTCCTCATATAGGATTCTGGGTTGACAGTTTTTTACTTTCATCATCTGAAAAATATTCTTACCAACCCCTGTGATTTCTGGTGAGAAAACTGCTGTCATTCTACTTGTTTTTTCTCCTATACATAAGGAGTTATTCTCTGGCTGCTTTCAAGATTTTTTTTTCTTTGTCTTTAGTTTTTAGAAGTTTAATAATTATGTGTGTTGTGACATGGATTTCTTTAGGTTTATTCTGTTTGGTTTGCTCATCTTCTTGAATCTGTAGATTTATGTCTCTTCCCCAATTTGGGAGCTTTTCAGCCATTATGTCAAGTACTTTTGCAGTCCCGTCCTTTTCCTGTTATTCTTCTAGGACTTTGATGACACAAACGTTAGATCTTTTGCTATAGTTCCACAGGTCCCTGAGGTTCTGTTTTTGCATTGTTCTAGTTTGTTTTGGTTTTGGTCTAGTGTTTCTTTTTTTTTCAGATTGGTTAATTTCTATCTCCCAGTTCACTGATTCTTTCCTCTGCCTCCTCCATTTTGCTGTTGAGCCCATCCATTGACTTTTTATTTCAGTGATTGTATTTTGCAGTTCTAAAATCTCCATTTTGTTCTTTATATCTTCCGTGTCTTTGCTGAGGCCTCCTATTTTTTTCATTTGTTTTAATTGTATTCCTAAGTTCTTATTGAAGCAATTTTGAAAAAATCATGGCTGCTCTAAAATTTTTGTCAGATAATTATAATATCTCTGTCATTTCAGTGTTGGCATGTATTGTGTTTTTCTAGGAATTTTTTCCATATCATCTACATTTTCAAATTTATTGCATAAAGACCATATCTTTGTTTCTAGGAACTATAGTGACATCTTCTTTTTCATTTTTGATACTGGACTGAATTTGTTCTCTCTCTCTCTCTCTCTCTCTCTCATCCCTTTCTCTCTTTTTTCTTTATCAATCCTGCCAGGGGTTATTACTTTTAGTAGTTATTTTTAGCAAACCAATTTTTCATTTTGTTGATCCTCTTCATTGTTACCTTCTACTTTCTCTAGGCTTAGTTTACTATTGTTTTTATAATTTCTTGAGATAGACATTTAAATCATTTACTTTCCTTCTTTTCAAATACATTACATGTTTAAGGGTATCCCACAAGCTTGTCAAGTTTATAGGAGACCAATGCTACATTAGTATAGCTTTTTTTTTTTTTTTTTTTCAGACAGAGTCTCGCTCTGTTGCCCAGGCTGGAGTGCAGTGGTACGATCTCGACTCACTGCAACCTCTGTCTCCCGGGTTCAAGCAATTCTTCCGCCTCAGCCTCCTGAGTAGCTGGGACTACAGGCATATGCCACCACGCCCAGCTGATTTTTTGTATTTTTTTAGCAGATATGGAGTTTCACTGTGTTAGCCAGGATGGTCTCGATCTCCTGACCTCATGATCCACCTGCCTTGGTCTCCCAAAGTGCTGGGATTACAGGCGTGAGCCACCATGCCTGGCCAGTGTAGCTTTAATTTGCATTTCTTTACTGAGTGAGGTTGAATTTTCATGTGTTTAAATGCTATTTGTATACATTTTTGTGACCTCTGTTCATTTTTCTGTTGGTTTGTTAGTTCGTATATGGATAGATGGATTTATGTATTAGAGAGATTATCACTTTGTAGTATGAGTAATTAAAATACTTTTTTTTCTAGTTTGTTGTTTTCCTTTTGACTTTGCCTATGCAGTGAACTCTCTTGCTAAACTGCTACTCTGCTGAGGACTTACTCACCTGCCTTTGGAGGTCAGAGAGGGTAGCTCATTTAAACCCACTCTGCTTTGGCGGGCTCTCATTAAACCTCATGAAAGATTCCACAGAACAGAGGCCAGAAGCCTGAGCTCCAGACATACTTAGGCCTGCCATTCTCTATGTGATCTTAAACCAAATTTTGATAACTCCTGACATCAGTTTCCTCATTTACAGAAATAATAATTATTCTAACTTTATGTAGCTGTTTGATGATTAAATAAGATAATGCATATAAGGTCATCTAGCACAGAGTGTGATCCACAGTAAAGGTTTGATGCATGGTATTTGCTTTTTAATTATTAGTGTTTACCAAGATCAAGCTAATGTTTTGTGAATGGCTGCTATTTTGTCCTGATGCCACTCCCCATCAGTGTACAAGAGAAAATTCTGTGACCACATGCCGTTGGCTCACCTGTTATGTCTGGTTTGCTTTGTGCATGGAGTTCTGGATTGCAGCCAGTACCATTGAGTGCTTTGATGAAGGTTGGCTGCTCTGAGAGTTTGAGTTTTTGCCAGGCTCTTTGGGTACATCTACCATAGCATCCTTTGTGCCTTTATTGTCCTGAGCTCTGCATGATTAGCCTTCTGATGGTCTTTCAGAAAAGAGAAAAGGAAAGAATGGAGGCGTGGTTAAAGACCCCACATGGCTCACTCACCTGTTTCCCCTGGGATGATCAAAGTTACCTAGTTACCTGTCATCTGACCAGGACTCACAGCTCTGGAGCTGACAGGTATAGACTGGTCTAAGCCAGCATTCAGGAAGGCCACTCAACTGGAACAGCAGGCATCAGAGTAGAAAGAATAAGCCTGAGCTCTCCAGAACATCCAAGGTCATAGAACAAAATGGCCTTAGGGGAACAAAACTGGGTCCCTGTACCTAGTTCTCCTCCTGTACTGTCTCTTAGAACCCAATAATGCTTACAATTTTATATATCTCTTCTGCAAGTCTGTAAGTTTCAAGAGGTCAGAGACCACATTTGTCTTGTTCACTACCAAGAATAGGGCCTTGATCTATGTGGTGGTTACCTGGGTATGTTTGCTTTGTGTTAATTCATCAGGCTCTTGGCACAGTGCCTGATGCCCGGTATTCACTGAATGGATGAGTACGTGAGTCATAGAGTCTCAGGTATTCATTCGGATCATTCATCTACTACATGCTTGAATCCTTGCCTCATTCCTACCAAGAGTTTGCTAGCATTTATCATTTAAACACCTCTGATGACAACAAGCTCTCTACTGCTCAAGGCTGCCTGTTCATTTTCTGTTTAGGTCTCTTGCCTAGAAAGTTCTTCTTAATATTGAACTGAAATATGCCTCCTTGAGGCTTCTGGTTAGTATTCTTGTTCTATCCTTTATGGCCACACAAATCAAGTCTGGGTCTTCTTCACCATGACAACTCTTCAGACATTTGTGGTTAGTTCTCACACCCACTTCTTCTCTAGATAACCACAAAATCATTGAATATACACACATTTGTTGAATGTCTGTAACATGGAACAGATTAGAGAACATACAGGTGAAACAATATAATATCATTGTCTAGTGGTTACTGGTCTTGAGGGAGCCAGAGAAATTAAGACTTAATGTGCTAAGTGTTAGGGAAATGGAGACACAGGAAAAGAGAATTCGAGCCTACCTAGGGGTCTTAGGGAAGGTTACAAGGTAGACCAAGAAGAGAAGGATGTTCCAAGAAAAGGGAATAGCACATGCAAAAGTCTGGAGCTATAAAAGCCCAGGGCATGTTATGGGAACTCCAAGTTGTTCTAGATGGCTAGGGAGACCAGAAGACCCAGATTGTTAGAACAGATCAATTTATGCTTGCTGTCCCAGAAAACTTAATAGTATGTCCTTAGTTTCAAAATCATCCCAGATAGTCACTGTAAGTATGGTTGGGACATAAAGTCTGAGAGTGAGGTGGAAATGGGAGACATGAAGATGGAGAGAAGCAGTGGCTGATCATAGGGGTCGTTGTGGCCAAGTTCAAGAAAGGCATTCAGTTAACCGGGCTTCTTATGGTGTCTTTCCCTTCAAGATTATCTTCTCCAGATATGATCTAATTCACAGATAGATCAATACAGTCATTGACAGATGATTATTGCCGTGGATTGCCATTTACGGAGCAATTACCAGGTAAGTGCTTTCTATGTAGGCTGGGGTGAGGCCCAGGTAACCTCTGCTGACTTAGTTGTGCTTGTCTTGTAAATGATTCTCTGCCAATAGGCCTTGGGTTTTGATTTGTTTTTACTCTTGTGAGGTCATGTCCTGAGGCAACATTGGGCAATTCCCAAAGGGCCTTCTGTTCCCAACTAGAAACTTTGTAAGCCTTCCCTGGAGGGGGACAGCAGAGGTCAGGAGATGGCTTCTAGCCATAAACAGTTTGTTTTAAAGGACTTGTATGATGTGTGTATTGAAGGGATTCACATAAATATTCAAATGAAATGAGTTGAATTTGTTCTAAGATGATGCAATAGCTAGGAATATTGAGTTAGGTGTTTGGATGGGCAGCCAGGGCACATGGTTTAAACATTTGACACACTTGAATTAAATGGATAGTGGATAGTAAGAGTGGGCATTTGAAATATGTCTGAGTGAGTGGCTTCCTCTGCAGCACTCCTGCAACAGCTCTCCCTAAGTGTCAGGTATGGGTTTATATCCTAAAACTGAGTGTAGCAGTGCCCTCAAGCAGACCCACAAGGACTAGCTTGAGGCTGCTTTGTCTCCCAGAAAGCCAGTTGGCAGCAGCTATCGGAGGGCTCTGCAGGCTTCCAAGTCCCCACCACTGCCCCAACACTTGGGTGCTCAGGGGGAACATGAGGCCACTGAGAATGGTCATGTCACCCTGCCCTTCCCATTCCTCCATTGCCAACCTACTGAGATTTGGGGCTAGCATGAGAATCTATTCGTGTTAGCTTGCTAATCAGGCTGTTCTAAACAAAGTGCCACAAACTGGGTGGCCTGCATAACAGAAATGGATTGACTCCCATCTCTGGAAGATAGAAGTGTGAGATCAAGGTGTTGGCAGGGCTGGTTCCTTCTGAGAGCTATGAGGAAAAACACGTTTCATGGCCCTCCCTTAGCTACTGGTGGTTTGCTGGCAACCTTTGATGGTCTTTGGCTTATAAAGTTATCACTCTGATTGCTACCTTCATTTTCACATGGTGTTCCCCCTCTATGCATGTCTGTCCAAATTGCCCTGTTTTATAAGGACACCAGTCATATTAGGCTAGGGGTGCCCCCTATTGCTACCTTCATTTTCACATGGTGTTCCCCTCTATGCATGTCTGTCCAAATTGCCCCATTTTATAAGGACACCAGTCATATTAGGCTAGGGGTGCACCCTATTCCAGTAGTACTCAATCTTAACTCATTACATCTGCCATGACCCTATTTTCAAGTAAGGCCATATTCTGAGGTACTGGGATTGAGGACTTCACCACATGGATCGTTGGGGGACACAGTTCAACCCATAGCATTTGGGATAAATTGAAATAGCATCAGCATGAACACAGTCACTCTACTGGTTACTTCTGCCAACCAACCTTCAAGTCAGAAAGAATCCTGTGGTTAAGGGAAAGGTTCTCCAATCCAGTTGCAACAAGTTAAAGGTATAGCCCACTAGATATGGGTTAGTTTGCCCTGAGCTCTGAATATGACTTCTTCCCTGGGAATCTTGGCTTGAGGGCACATGTGGGAGCCTGCTTGCCAGGCACAGGGTAGCCTATGGCTTTGGGAGTTTTGTTTTAATCTGCCCTGTCACTTTCCAAAGGTCCGTCTTCTAAGCTTATGCCGTTGTTCTATCCTAGAACCAACTATTTTCATTCTTTGCTGCGTACCTTGTCTGCCCATATGAATTCTCTCCTAGCCATTCTCCATACCACACAGAGGGATTGTTCTAAAACACAAATGTGATATTGTCAGTCCCTTGACTGACAAGACTTCAATGGCTGTTGTTCTTTGGATGGAGATCAAAACACTTTCCGACAGGACCCGGAGGTCTCAGACAGGAGGCTTGCCATCTGCGTTTGCACTTATTTAAAAAACAATTGAATTGGTGACATTCTGTTTCTTAATCTGGGTGGTGCTGAACAATGGTGTTCACTCTGTCAATATTCGTCTAGCTCTACACTTTGATTTGTGGATGTGTCTGTGCCTACAGTATATTCCAATTTTTAAAAATCTTCAAAACAACTGAATGAGTTGCCCAAAGTTCTGGGAGTTCCTTGGTGGTATTATACTTTATGATCTTTTAGATCTCTTGACCGTCACCATTCAACTAGAGATTTTTTTCCCCCTTTCTATCCTGGGAGGAAAAAGATGGAATTAACAAACAGAGGTGATTCAGTGAGTTACACTGTGTCACAAGGTCACAAGATAAATTATGCACATTGTGACAAGAAAACCGCATGGTCCTATAAAATTATGTGCTCTTTTTGTCCAGAAATTATGCTGGCTTGCTATTTCCTGTTGTTAACTAAGAATAAAGAGGGACCTGCCTGTTGCCCCTGCCTGCAGTGCCTGGAGGAGAGACAGAAGTCATGACTGGCCTCCTTTCTGCCCCAGGGACTGCATTATTCCCCTCTGAAGCAACAGTCCTCCTGCTAGAGCTTGGGCAAGGAGAGGGGCTGCAGGCAACCCCTGTGTCTGCCCCAAGAAAATGGGAGTTCTGAGCAACTTAGGCATATGGAAAAAGGAGCACTCTCCACAGATGGCTGAAAAGCATTGTTGGTAACATCTGAAGCTTGAATCTAGGGGTCAATGACAAGCCCTTTAAGTTGGCTCTGTCTCTTGGAGTGCTGAACTGTTCCCACTGTTTAACATAAAGAACCAAAGTAGCCCTTGCAAAGAGAGTGAGAATAATCTCTGACTCTGGCAGGCTCTTAGGACATCATAATTTTAAAATTGAGAGAATTTTAAAAAATCTAGATTTCTGTCTTTCCTTGGAAAATTGAGATGTTGAACTACCCCACTATTCTATTTAAAATTGCCAGGGGTGGTGGCTCATGATGGTTATCCCAGCACTTCGGGAGGCTGAGGTGGGTGGATCACCCAAGGTCAGGAATTCAAGACCAGCCTGGCCAACATGGTAAAACCCCGTCTCTATTAAAAATACAAAACTTAGCTGGGTGTGGTGATGTGCATCTCTAATCCCAGTTACTTGGGAGCCTAAGGCAGGAGAATTGCTTGAACCTGGGAGGTGGAAGTTGCAGTGAGCCAAGATGGCGCCACTGCACTTCAGCCTTGGTGACAGAACGAGACTCCATCTCAAAAATAAATAAATAAATACAATTGCAGTATCCATGACATCTTGTCCCAAGCCCCATACTTTGTGCTTCCCTAACATTGCTTTGATTCCTCTCTTTCCATAGCCCCAAGCATCTCCTAACTTACCATACAGTTTACTTATTTATTATGTTTATTGGTCTGTCTCCTTCTGTTGGAATGTAAGTTGCATGAGGGCAGGGCTCCTTGTTTTGCTCAATGATCCATCTCAGGCCTTGAATATTGCAACCTGGCATTGAATAGTTGAATGTATGTATGTTGAATGAATGTAGCCTGAAGCCTACATTCCCAATTTGTAGCAGTCACATGACCTGCCTGGGCCCCTGAAGGCATGTGTATTTGCTATGCCTGCCCCTACTGACCTGCATGCCAGCTTTTCCCTTCTGTCCCCCTCAGGCTTGTTTCTCTGGCCACACTGGCCTGGCCTCTCCTACCCCACCACTGGCCCACTGCACTTGCTCAGCCAGAACGCTCTTCCTGCCCCTCTCTGCCTGGCTAGCTCCTGCTCCTGCTGTGTTCTCAGCTCAAGCTGTCCTTGATCCCTTTGCCTAGGTCACTACCCCAAGCATAGAGAAGATTCTGCCCTTAGTCACTGACTAGAGAAAATTCCTCTCATTCAGTTTTAAGACATAAAAAGCTCTTCCTCCCTTGTGAATTAGTGTGCCCCCACCGGGCTACCCTGACCTCTGAGCTTAGGATACAGGTGCTGCCCACGCCCCTCTGAGTCAACCCTGGAAACCAGTTCTACAGGGCCAGGCAAGGAACAACTCTGGGCCAAGGGCTGAAATTACCCCACTGGTCCTCTGTCTACCTAGGACTTATATAATGCTTGGCCTCTTCATCATGTTCTATCTGTGTCAATACTCAGGAGGGTGGTGAGAGGGCCTGGCCCCCCAGGGCATTCTGGCAACATGGTCATCCTTCACAGCAGGGCCAGGACAAACACTCCCCAACCAAGTAACCACATGACAGAGGGCCCTTCCTGGGCACCTGGAGGCAGACAGATGGAGTTACCAAACAGGGGATTCTGGGAAGGGTAACCCCAGTGGGCCAAAGAGAACTCTAGACTGACAGAGGTGAGGAACAGCTTCCCCTCTCTACTCAATTTTGAGATTAGGAAATTGAAGCCCAGAGAGAGTTAATGGTGCATCCAAAGCCCCACAGCACAGTGTCCCAACAGCCCCACAAGAACCCACAAGCTTCACTACGTTTTCTGGGTCTGGGCTTCTGGGGCTGGAATGTCAGGAATTCTAGGTTCTGCCCCCATTAGCTGCAAGACCAAGGCTTAGAAAGAGACGAGAATGGATAGAATGTTGCAGCTCTTATCCAGGCATATACAAAATACAGATGACTGGGCCTCACACCTCATTCACTCCATCTGCAGGAGAGCCCTGACATGTGGATTTTGAAAGGCTCCTTGGAGATGCTGACAATCCATGCTAGATGGGCACCTGGATGATGCTTAAGTCCCTTCTAGCTTGACAAGCCCTCAGCCATAGATATTAAAATGAGGCTTGTGCTGGAGTGTATCCCTGTCATCAGTCTACAAGAGAAGCTCTCACTGGGGCAGCTGAACTCCCTAGGGAGCATCCTGGAAATTAAAAAAAAAACCTTTTGGTTGTCATAATGATGAGGCCGGTGCCTCTGGCATTCAGTGAGGAGAATAATGCGGTCCCTGGGGCAGAAATGAGGCCCATTATGACTTCTCTCTCTCCTCCAGGCGCTTCAGGCAGGGGCAACAGGCAGGTCCCTCTTTATTCTTAGTGAGGGATGCATCCCATCACAATGAAGAATTGTCCTGAGTCCTGTACATCTTTGGAATGCACTGTCAGAATATTCATAGAGGGGAAAAGCTAGTTCATAGTCACATGAGCCATAATCAACTTCTCTTTACATGTATGTTTAAAAAAAAAAAAAAAAAACACCCAGGTGCAGTGGCTCATGCCTGTAATCCCGAGGCAGGTGGATCACCTAAGGTCAGGAGTTCGAGACCAGCCTGGCCAACATGGTGAAACCTTGTCTCTACTAGAAATACAAAAATTAGCCGGGTGTGGTGGTGGGCACCTGTAATCCCAGCTACTCGGGAGGCTGAGGCAAGAGAATCCCTTGAACCGGGGAGATGAAGGTTGCAGTGAGCCAAGATTGTGCCACTGCCCTCCAGCCTGGGCGACAGAGTGAGACTGTGTCTCAAACAACAACAACAACAACAACAAAACCCCCCAAAAAACCCACCTACCTGGTGGTTTTATTATACAACCTACTTGGAGTACAACTACCATGTTGAGAGCTGTGTGTAAATTGTCCTGCATTTTGTCTGGAATGTTATCAACCTTAATCCACAGTTTTGTAAAATCACATCATCCATGGCAATGCCGCTCACATAGTAATTGAGTCACTAAGACACTACCTCTATACTGGTCTGTGTCTGCAGCTTTCCTATCCATGATGATTGTATCTAGTTCTGTGAATATCCTAATTGAGTCCTTATTTCAAAATGTCAAATATAAAGAAAACAGTGACAGCACTATTCAATTAAATATTGCCTTCCCATAATGCAAGCATATCCATTGTAAGTCCATGCCTCTGCCAACTTCATGTATTATTTTATTATCATGACATTCCCTTTTAAAGTTATAGTGCTATATTGATTTCTAGACAGTAAAGGAGAGTTACAAAGCAATATTTGTTATAAACAGGGGTGTTGGATCTGGTTGGTTTAGGACTTACTGATCTACAAGCAATAAAACCTGCAGGAAAACAGTAGATCTGTAGCTCTCAGAAAAGCCTTACAAAGGCCTAGCATGCCCTAGAGAGGGCAAGGGGCATGTTGGAAGGACTAATCAACTTGTTAGGATCAGGTTCTGATGGGGATAGAAATCAACCTACAGCAACAAGGTGAGAGGGCTGGGCTGGGCTTAGTCAGTCACAGGCTCAGATTGGAATCTTATCTGGGCACACCCTGGATGTATGTGGAGGGTGTTAGACCAATAATTCTTGGCCGGGTACGGTGGCTCACAACTGTAATCCCAGTACGTTGGGAGGCTAAGGTGGGAGAATTACTTGAGTCCAGGAACAGCCTGGGCAACATAGTGAGGCATTGTCTTTATAAATTAATAATAATAATAATAGTAATAATTATGGAGCGCTTATGGTGGATCAGGCCCCATATGTGATGGGCACACACATACATCTCTTACAATTGCCACAGCAATTTACAAAGGAGGAAGCCCAGGCTTGGACAGTTAAAACAACTTGATTCCTGGGTAGAGACCTGTCTCCCTGCCTTCAATCTACTGTTTTCCTGTAGGCCACACAATGATTTCTGGGTAGAGACCTGTCTCCCTGCCTTCAAAGCTATTTTGTCAAAGGAAGTTTATATTTATTTGGTGTTTGAGAAACAGCTGCTCTCAGTTTTTGATGTTTTGCTAGGAGTGATTGTGCAGCCTGGATAGCAACAATGGTGGGTGTATTAGTCTGTTTCACACTGCTATTAAGAACTTCCTTGAGACTGGGTCATTTATAAAGGAAAGAGGTTTAACTGACAGTTCCACATGGCTGGGGAGGCCTCAGGAAACTTACGATCATGGCGGATGGTGAAGGAAAAGCAAGCACCTTCTTCACAAGGCCGCAGCAGAGAGAAGAACGAAGGAAGAACTTTCAAACACTCATAAAACCATCAGATCTCATGAGAGCTCACCCAGTGCCACGAGAACAACCATGATTCAATCACCCTCCCTCCCTCAACACATGGGAATTACAATTTGAGATGAGATTTGGGTGGGGACACAGAGCCAAACCCTATCAGTGGGCTTCTTTAGGAAAGATGAGGTTTCTTTGGGAAATAACTCTTGGCTCTCTGAGGGCTTGGCCACTCTGACTTTGATCAAACTGGCAACTGGGGCACATACCTGGGTGAGGCCAGGGGGCCCATGATAACTTGGTGACTCGCTGCCCCTTGCTCACTCCAGTTGGCAATGTTGGGGCATTTGGTCCCTGCTGTGGCTGCTCCCATGTCTGTCTGGCCCTTGGCCTCTCCTCCCCTGGTAGCCAGTTCTGCTGTGATCAGCCCAGCCCGATCTCCAGCCCAGCTGGAGCTATGTGCTGGTTTCCTGCCTCTTCTTGAGCATTCTGGGCTCCAGGAACTGTTTGTTGGTTTCCTGTGGGCCACTCCTTTCCAGGACAGACCCAGAGGCTGCAACCCTCCTAAGACCTGCCCACACCCCTGTCCTGAGGTGAGCTTCTCAAGAAGGTCCCCGGCTGAGCAAGGGGTGTCAGGAACAAGATTGGAGGCAGGAGAGTGTGTGCGCCTGCTTTATAGAGTGGGAGTGTGTGCTCATGCATGATGGGGAGGCTGTCACTAACTTGGCCAGGGATGGCTGCCATTTTAAGCAGAACCAGATTTGCTGGCATGAATTGTTTAAATGATGGTAGACACAAGCGCTGCAGGGAGATCCTCCCAGCCTAAATTAAAGAAGTCAACAGAGGGAAAAAATCCTGGGCCATCTTGCTCCACACCTCCCTCCCCTGTCCCAAGCCTTCTGTCATCTGTGGGAATTTCAGTGCCTCACTGACACCTGAATAACAATCTTTTGTCATCCTGGAAGGCACCATTATGGTACCAAAGGACAACTGGGGAGCATTGGTTCCCTCCCCAGCCGCACAGAAACTTGTTCTTCATCAGCCTCCTTAAGCCATCCCAGACAACCCACATGCTTAATACAACTATCATGCCTTCTATCTGGGCAAAGTGCCATGTGTCTGTAGACACAGCTACTCGGGAGGCTAAGACAGGAAGATCGCTCGAGCCCAGGCATTTGAGGCTGTAGTGAGCTATGATCATGGCTGTGAATAGCCACTACACTCCAGCCTGGGCAACATATTGAGACCTGGTTTCTAAATAAGCAAACAAAAATTGTGCTTTCTCTGCAAACGGAGTGTCTAGGGAAGTACTTCTTACTTTCTTGTGGATTAAGATCATCTGGGGACCTTGTTAAGCTGTAGATTCTGATTCAGGAGGTCTGGAGTGGGGCCCCAAGAACATGCATTTATAAAAAGCTCTCAGGTAAAGCCAGTGTCGCTCTCAGGGAAACCACACTTTCAGAATGGAAGCTCCAGACAGCCCTCCTCTGCCTCTGACCAGCCAGCTAAGTGCCTCCTAATGTCATTCTGCTGTCAGAGAGAGTGTGGGGTAGAAGAGCAGGGTGGTCTGAAGTCTCTCTCTCTCTCTCTATCTGTCTCTCTCTCTATCTGTCTCTCTCTCTCTCTCTCTCTCTCTCTCTCACACACACACACACACACACACACACACACACAGCTGCATGGGCTCACAGAGTTGCAAACCCAGACCCATGTTCTAGGCTGGGCTCTGCCAGGAACTGCCAGGAGTCACATCTCTCTCTGGACCTCAGTTTCTTCATGTGTATTCTCTGGGGTGGAGCTGGCGAATAGTTGAAGATCCCTCTAGCTCTACCATTTTTTGATACTAATTAACCAACAAGCATATTTGAGGTTCTCCCTACAAAGCCTGAAGCCTTGACTTCCCATCCAAACTCCCATGCAAACTCCACCCCATCATGGCTGTGTGTCTTTGGGAGGATCATTTCCTTCTTTGGTCTTGGTGTCCTTGTTTACAAGTTGAGGGATGATAAGAGTCACCTGATCTGGGCAAGTCAGGCCATAAATAAGGCTTGTATGTAAAGGTGCCTAGCATAGTTCTTGGCAGAGTAAGGATCTGTTCAATATGATTGAATCGGTTTGTGCATCTGGGAAGAATGAGCAGACTGCATACTGTGTATTAGGGTGTAGGGAGGAATCAGATGTGACCCTGCCCTCTAGTCATCTGGGTATACAGATTCTAGATTAAAGGATGTGGGGGTGGTAACTAACAAGGAGACGGAGACGAGGTGTGCAATTCCTGGGGGATCTGATGAAGAATTAAAGCAGAAGGGTAGGAGATGGAGAATGGGAAGGCATGCCTGAAACCCTAAAGCAACTCTTGATGAGTAGGCAATGGCAGGAGGCCCCAGAACATTTTCTGACCCTTAAACACTGAGAATGCATGTCTGCTGGGGAACAGTAGTGAGAGGGGTAAGGGCATGGGGGTGTTCATGCCTGAGTCGGGGGCTCTGGATGGTAGAGACGTCTGGGAGTTCGGATGGAATGGGGGTGAGGAGGCCTAAAGATAACCTGTTCATAGTCTTTCAGGGCCTTAACCATTCTGGCGGGGGAATTGGGAAGTGCTGTTGGGGTACGCAGAGGAGGGCAGCTGTGATAGTACATTTCATCCCGAAAGCACTACATGATGATAATGACAGTAGTGATGATGATGCCCTAATTTTAGTGTCATGGCAACATTTTCCAAGGGGATGGAATTGGGTACCCTCATTAGTGTCATTTTTGTCTGAGAGATTTCAAGAGTCTATCTAGGTGTCATTTTAAGATCTATTGGAAAAAAAAGTCTTGAATGCAGGTCACTGGCCAGTTGGTTCCATGTAACTGCACTGCCTTCTGCTTCCGCTAAAGCCATGTTATGACAACGTGGACAAGTCATGGGAAACCTATTTGAGACTTAGTTTTTTCTTTTTCTTTTTGGAGCTGGGAGTCTCACTATGTTGCTCAGGCTGATCTAGAACTGCTGGGCTCAGACAACCCTCTCGCCTCAGCGTTCCAAAGTGCTGGGATTACCGAGGTAAGCCACTGCACCCAGCTGAGACTTAGTTTTTTCATCTGGAAATGAAGGTGACCTTTGTGATCCCAGTGGCCCCTTGCACTTGTGTATAAGGAGATTCCCAGCACTGTTCATGAAAGTAGTGATGGCAGAGTAGCCTCTGGGGCGCGGGGGGTGGGGGGGCGTGGTGGAGGGGAGGATGAGGATGGGATTTCCATTAAATGAGTTTCCATGTTGCTTTTCTTCAGGCACCACTGACCTCGATGGAAAAATGAAGTCCCCGGCCCAGGAAAGAGACCCAACTCTGTGGCTGTTTTGGATTAGTTTGTACAATGCCCTGCAGCCTTACTTTCTCAGGAGGCTCCAAGTGACCAAATGTGACCAGGAAGTTTTTTGTTAAAGGCAGTCTGGAAGAGAAGTTGTGACCGTCGGCATCCCACAGCCGCCCCAGGACGGCCTGGTTGAGACATTCACTGGAGGGCCTGGGTGCAGCCCGCTGCCTGGCCAGTAGGCGGCGCGCACACGCCGTGGGGCCCGGGTCCGGGCGTGCGCGCGGCTGGTGGCAGCGGGGCCGCGCACGCCAGGGTCCGGGAGCCGGGCCGGTGCCCCCGGAGCCATTTCCGGGAGGGGCGAGGCCGGCGGCTGCCGGGCCTCCAATCTCGGCGGCGGCGGCGGCGGCAATAGTGGATTCTGGTTCTCGCGGCCTGCGGGTCTGTCGCGCGCTGAGGGAGACGCGGGAGGTGGAGCCGGCCGGGTGCTCGAGGGAAGGAGACGGGAAGCTGGTTCCGGCGTGAGGAGGTGGAGGGGCCGCCGCGGGCTCCGGGGGGCGGTGAGGGTCGGGACGGAGGCGCAGCGGGGTGAGGAGAGGGCAGGGGCCGGGTGAGCCGGGGGCGCGCAGAGGCGGAGTAGGGGCGGCTGCGGCCGGGGCGGGGGCGGGCTGAAGGCGTGGGCACCTGCAGCGGAGGTCCAAGCGAGTGGACGGCGGGCGGGCGCGGGGCCGCGGTGGGGCGAGTCTGGAGCCCACGCCTGCCGCGGGGTAGGAGTGGGCGTGGGCGGCCAGGATTTGCTGGTCCTCCGACGGGACGGGAAGGCTGTGAGGAGGGAGGGGGGACAACGAGAGCGAGGCCGTGCTGCTTCTAAAGGGAGTGCGAGGAGGCAGGACCCTGGCACCCTCGGCACCTTCAGCCCGGGTTAGGTGGCCTGGGCTGGGCTCCGCACCCCGATAGCGCGCAGACGGGGCGTTTCCCCTAGTTTCCACCTGGGTGGAATGCTTTGTGGGAGTCTGGGTCTGGATTAGTTTCATCAACTGTGGGAGGGAAACCTAGTTGCAGCAGGATTTTGATTCGCTGGTTTGGGGTGCTGGGGGTGGAGTGTGATATCTGGGAGTGAAATCTGAGCCTTCAAAGGAGGGAGAGAACCATAACTTGGCTGCTCTGGCGAATCTAGGCGGGCCGGCGAGACAGTTTAAAGCTCTAGACGTAAACAAACCTGGTTCCCTTTTACAGAGTCTGAAGAAGGGGAGCACGGAGAGGAGGCTGGAAGAGGAAGATGCCTAGTACAGACCTTCTGATGTTGGTGAGCCTTTTGCAGACATCCTCCTGGTTCGAAGGCACTTGTCTCCGTTTTTTTTTTTTTTAGTCCAAAGGATCCCAGTGTGTAGATTTCACCTCTGATGCTTACTTTTGGTAGCTGAGCATTTCTGCCACCTTTTATTTTGTTTTGTTTTGTTTTGTTTTGTTTTTTTGGAGACGAATTCCCACTCTGTTGCCCAGGCTGGGGTGCAGTGGCATGATCTCAGCTCACCGCAACACCTGCCTCCTGGGTTCAAGCGATTCTTCTGCCTCAACCTCCCAAGTAGCTGGGATTACAGGCGCACGCCACCACACCGAGCTAATTTTTGTATTTTTAGTAGAGACAGGGTTCTCCATGTTGGCCAGGCTGGTCTTGAACTCCTGACCTGTGGTGATCCACCTGCCTTGGCCTCTTGAAGTGCTGGGATTCCAGGCGGGAGCCACCACGCCTGGCCAACCACCTTTTATTTTGGATGAATGATCAGGATGAATAAATAGCTGAATTAAATATATCAATACAGTATATGTAGAACTTAAATTATTGAAGAGTCTTTTTCAAAATTATTGTTTTTTTAATGAGACGGGGTCTTGCTATGTTCTTCAGACTGGAGTGCAGTGGCTATTTACAGGGATAATCATAGCTCACTGTAGCCTGGAACTCCCATTTCAAGTGATCCTCTTGCTTCAGCCTCTGGAATAGCTAGGACTAGGAGTACAAGTCACCTCTCCTGGCCTTCTTTTTCATAATTCTTGCAGTTTTAATCCCTCCCTTCCCATACTACCAGAGCAGTTTTGAAACCTCTATTATTACGTTTTATCAGGGTCTGCCATATATTGGTTTATCTGAGTGTTTGTCTTCCAGATTAGAGTTATGGTTCCTCAGCAGGCAGATAAGCATGTCTTCTTTGTTTAGAGATGTATAAACACCTAGCATGGTGCTCTGAATATAGTAAGTGTTTAACAAATGCTTGTTGGATTGAACCAGTCTGAATTTAAGTTCTTTTGTTGGGCAGAGAGGTATGCCTGCTTTAGAGCTGTTTCCTCTCCTCCTGAGATCTTTCTGTGCTGTTTTACTGAGCAGGGAAGAATAGCGTTGCTAAGTGCGTTTACCAAAATGACATTTTATTTTTGGGACTTTTATGATTCCTTACGGGCTTTTTAGTGTGCGAGTTGTGGGGAGTTTATAGCTTTGAAATGGTGGTATAGATAGTGTCCGGGTTTAGTTTATTTTTTATCTTTTATTTTTTTGAGATGGAGTTTCGCTCTTGTTGCCCAGGCTGGAGTGCAATGGCACAATCTCAGCTCACTGCAACCTCCACCTCCTGGGTTCTCCTGCCTCAGCCTCCGGGTAGCTGGAATTATAGGCGCACACTACCATGCATGGGTAATTTTTGTGTTTTTAGTAGAGATGGGGTTTCGCCATGTTAGCCAGGCTGATCTCAAACTCCTAACCTCAGGTGATCCACCTGCCTCGGTCTCCCAAAGTGCTGGAATTACTTACAGGCGTGAGCCGCCATGCCCAGCCAAGTTTGTTTGTTTTTGTCACTTCTCTGAGTGCAAAATCAGTGGTTTAAAAACAGTTCATTTCTCTCTTTTTATCTCACTATCCCAGAGGGTGGGTTGGTGTCACTGGGAAACTGGCAAAAACTGGTAGTGAGATTCCCTTATACTGGGTACTGACATCGTAGTGGCGTTACCTATAAGGTCTGCAGGGTGGATAAAGAAGAGAGAAACTAAGTTTTGATCCATTGTGATTTGAGGCAAGGAACTAGGATAATTTTAGGTAGTATGTGAGAGACATAGATGAATACTTAGGTTATCCACAGATCCCCATGAAAAGTTCATCTAAGATAGTTTCTTGCCCCAAATTTCATGGATTTTTCAGTTTTAATTAATACCCTTATATAACTTAGAATTCTTATTAAAAGACCACTATGTTAGAAATACTGGAAACTCTAAGTAAGCAAAAGGAAAGGGGATTTGGTAATTTCCCCTATCTCGTACATCCCCTTCATTCCCCTCTACCCTGTGCAATAATTTATCACCCAGAAAAAACCGCTGTGAGCCTCCTGGAAGGTTAATGCAGAGTGACTTGTGGCAATTGACAGTTTCTGTTTATCCTCTTACAGAAGGATATGTTTATGTAAATTATAGGTTTTAAACATAAGATATTTCCCCATGCACAGAGATATGCTTATTACTTCTAGGGTCTATGCATTTACTTTAACAGTCAGAACGATGACTGCTTTTACTCGGAATATTAACTTTGGAATCATTTTTGTTTTGAGGTATTTCTCTAGCTGTTGCCACCACCTTTCACCTCCTCACCTGTTAATTTAGAATGTTTAGGAGTGTTGCTTTGCTTGTTGCTGTAAGGAATTAATCCACATAGATGTGAGTGACCCTAGGCAATCATCACTTTCTGAAGACAACATACGTGTTGCATGAAGTGCTTTCACTGGAAAAGTTGTCATTCATTCCTTGACTGTAATGTATAATACTATTTGGAACTAAATGGTAAATAACCAATAACCAAGGCTGGGTTTTCAGTGGCACACTAAATCATCATTCTATGAGGTGTTTCTCTAACTTATATGATATGTAATACACATTCTTGGCCCTCCAACTGGGAAGGAAGGACCTAAGTGAATGAAAAAATAACCTCAGTGCAGTGCAGCATCTCAGAATTAGAAATAATCTTAGAAGTCATGTGATGCAGCTTCTTTTTGTTTTTTAGAAACAAGGTCTCATTCTGATGCCCAGGCTGGAGTGCAGTGGCATGATCTCAGCTTACTGCATCCTTGATCTCTGAGGCTCAGATGATTGTTCCACCTCAGCTTCCTGAGTAGCTGGGAAAACAGGCACATGCCACCATGCCCGGCTGATTTTTGTATTTTTTTGTAGAGATGGTAGTTCGCCATGTTGCCCAGGCTGGTATCTAATTCCTGGGCTCAAGGGATCCAACCGCCTGCCTTGGCCTCCCAAAATGCTGGGATTACAGGCATGAGCCACTGCACCTGGCCTGTGGTGCAGCTTATATTATACGTGAATCTGTTGAAGAGTGTCTCTGATAAATGGATATCCAGTCTCTCCTCTTTTCTGCTAATGGAATAAGTGAGCAAAAGCTAGGAAACAATGCACGGTGGATTCAGGAATAGTAATGTTAACTCTGATAGCTAACATTTATTGAGTGTGTATTACATGTTAAGTGTAGGAATACTGTACTTACTTATTTTTCACAAAAACCTTTGGCATCATTCTTTTACAGGTGAAAAACTCGGCCTGTAGAGGGTAATCACAGCAGTTGAGTGGTGGAGCCAAGTTTGACCTCAGTTGGTCTGACTTCAGATCCCTCCCTCTTGCCTACTTTGTGTCCTTACCCCTGGTAAGGGTAGAGGTTGCTGACCATTAAGACTGATGGGAGAGGGTCTGTGTGGAGCAGATGGGGTAGGATAGCTCCGCCCTCTAGGGGGCACTTTGGGAGTGGGGGACTGCGGGAGGAGGGAATCTTTTTTCTTCTAGTGTAGTCTTGTCTGAAAATACATGTTTTATTATTAACTCTTGTTTATTGGGTCAGGCATGGTGGCTCATGCCTGAAATCCCAGCACTTTGGGAGGCTGTGGCGGGCAGAGCACTTGAGGCCAGGTGTTCTAGACCAGCCTGGCCAACATGGCGAAACTCTGTGTCTACTAAAAATACAAAAATTAGCTGGGCATGGTGGCACACGCTTGTAATCCTGGCTACTTGGGAGGCTGGGGCTAGAGAATTGCTTGAACCCAGGCGGTGGAGGTTGCAGTGAGCTGAGGCTGCACCACTACACTCCAGCCTGGGCGACAGAGCAAGACTGTCTCAAAAAAAAAAAAAAATTGTGTTTTATTTTCCTTTGTGTCGCATTTAACGAATTATATTGAAATTTTAAAATTTGTGTCTGCAGATATAGTATTATAATCTTT